ATCTCTCTTTATTTTCCAGACCATTTACCATGGGAAAGATTTTTTTCAGGTGCCTCAGAGTTCCCTTTAGTTTAAGCAACACTTATTTTATTATTTTTTTTTATTATTTTTTTAAGCAACACTTATTTGACCTAGATCCTATGCTAAACTCCACAGACACAAAGGTGACTAAGACCTGATCCCTGACCTCATAGATCATATTGTCGGGGACTGGGGAGTCACATATAAACAGGTTAGTGTGGGATCCCTGGGTGGCTCAATGGTTGAGCATCTGCCTTTGGCCCAGGGCATGATTCTGGGGTCCTGGGATCGAGTCCCACATCAGGCTCCCTGCATGGAGCCTGCTCCTCCCTCTGCCTGTATCTCTGCCTCTCTCCCTGTGTCTCTCATGAATAAATAAAATCTTTTAAAGAATACAAAAAATAAACAGATTAGGGGATCCCTGGGTGGCGCAGCGGTTTGGCGCCTGCCTTTGGCCCAGGGCGCGATCCTGGAGACCCGGGATCGAATCCCACGTCGGGCTCCCGGTGCATGGAGCCTGCTTCTCCCTCTCCCTGTGTCTCTGCCTCTCTCTCTCTCTCTCTCTCTCTCTATCATAAATAAATTAAAAAAATTAAAAAAAAACAAAAAAAAAACAGATTAGTACTAGTTTACTAGCTGCGTGACCTTGGGCAAGTTGCTTAACCCCTCTGGGCCTCAGTTTTTTCAACTACACAATGGACTCATAAAAGTACCTATGACCTATGTTGTAGGGTGATTATGAGGATTAAAAATGATAATGTGTGTAAAAATGCCACATAGGAAATGTTAGCTATTACTGTACAATACAGTGAGAAAAGTGATGGAGTGGAGAAGATACCCAGAGTGCTTCCTAACTGGGAGGAGTGGAGCCCCCAGATGGAGATAATGGGGAAGGGATTCCACTCTGGTGCAGCCAGTCTGTCAGTGGGGAGCCTGTGGCTGGGCCAGCCTGGGACAGAACCCACCTTGAGAAGTGTGGAGCTGGAATCCTCCTGGCTGAGGCTCATCTTGGCTCCTACAGGCTCAGAGCCCAGACCATCAGCAGGGCCTGACCAACCAGGGTGTGCCTTCGTGCAGAGGGAGCCACTGTTAGCTTGCTGTGCACCCTCAGACAGGCAACTTCGTCCCTCTGACCCTCGAGTTCGACCTGAGTGATGGGGAAATGAGACACACAATCGAGGGATGGTGCCGAGTGCCACATCTGGGACACTGCGGAGAGTCGGCTGCATAGGCAGCCGGTGCAGGGGCAGCAGGACTTGGAGCTAGGGGCATCAAGAGGAAGCACTAGGAAGGCAAAGAGATCTTGAGGATGACATTGGACTTCCCCCAGCATGTGGATGGAGGTCGAGCCAATCCTAGACCTCTAAAGGGCAGGGGGACACCAGTTGACACTTAGTTACAAGTATTTAGGGTTATGGCATTGCTCGTCTGTGTCTCAGTTTCCTCTCTGTCACATGGCAGGGGAAGAAGGCCAGCAATAGTACTCAGCGCCTACTATGAGATCATGACATGCAAATTTGATATCACTTAGATGTCACAACACCCAGGGAGGGAAGTTTCATTATCCCTATTTTACAGATGAAGAAACCGAAGCTCAGAGAGGACAAGTAAGTTGCCCAGGGTCACACAGCTTGTAAGTGCTTGGGCTAGGGCCCCTGATCTCTTCTCCCATGGCCCTTTCCCTCGTTCGACTTTAGCCTCCCTTAAAAACACCCTAGAAATCTTATCATCCATAAGCACCCAGCTCCAGAATCACAAACCCAGAATCACAAACCCATGCATCTCACTCTCTTAAAACAACTTCCTACCCTCTTGGGGCCTCTTTCAATCCCTCTGGACTAGGACTGTTCTTTGGCCTTGCCTGGAAGGCCAGCCACAGACCTCATCACTCTCCCAATCTCCCACCCTCTCTTGCCCACACACCCCTTCCTCATGCAGCTTTGAGTCCATGGCCTGTCATTCAGTAGCACTCTCGCCAGTAACCTAAACTTCATTGCTCACCTTCCTTGCAAACTTCTGAATGCATCTCACTGTCATTTCTCTCCAAGCCTTCACCAGAGCATTGGGGGGGGGGGGACAGGTAATAATAATCCTGGCTAATATTTATACAGCATATATTATGTGCCAAGCCCTAAGGGGTTGAGGGGTTAACTCAGTTAATCCTCCAATATGACGAGGTAAGTACAATCCTTATTGCCCCATTTATGGATAAAGAAAATGGAGTGAACAGAGGTGCAATCACTCACTCAAACCCCAAAGCACACAGCTGAGTAAATTGAGGAGCCATACTCAAACTCAGGCTGTCTATCCCGAGTCTTCGTCTTTTTTTTTTAATTTAAAAAATATTTAATTTATTTATTCATGAGAGACAGAGAGAGAGAGAGAGAGAGAGAGGGCAGAGACACAGGCAGAGGGAGAAGCACGCTCCATGCAGAGAGCCCGACGTGGGACTCGATCCCGGGACTCCAGGATCACACCCTGGGCAGAAGCCAGATGCTCAACCGCTGAGCCATCCAGGCATCCCCCGAGTCCTTGTCTTAAATCGGTACATTGAGGAAAGATCAGCTAGGCAGTACTTGGCTCCTTCCACCCTACGTCCAGAGCTGCTCTCAGCCGGGAGTTGGGGACAATCCAAAAGGAGTTCAGGTCCTCACTGCATTCCGCAGCTGACACCATCACTTGGGAGATCAATAATATTAATGGCAAAACTAACTTACACTTCAGCCATTATCCTGTGTGTCCTAAGTGTTTACCCCTCCCACCAACAGTATGAGGAAGAAGGTACAATTATGCATGTTTTCCTGGGGGTCATAGAAGAACCCTGGAAAAAGCCTAAATTCGTACAACACAGAATGTTGGAGTCAGACGGACAGCTGTGACCCTCTCCTACCTTTCTTCTGGCCTCAAGATCTCCAAGGCCCGGCTCTTTCTGGGTAAGGGGGAGGAATCTCCTCTGACTTGCTAGTGGGCCTGGTTCCCCCACCCCAGCCCCCGGCCTTACCCCCTCCAACAGCTCCCAGAGCTCTGCTGAGGACGCCCAGGTCCCCTCTCCTCTGTGGCACCTGGTGATGAGCTGGGAGCTTCAGCAGTGAAGGGGAGGGAGGTCCACCTGGTGCCGCCTGAGCACTGCCCAAGGGGCCTCTATGCTACTCTCGAAGGCCCAGATCTACCAGCAGCTCCCTAAAAAGATAGAGCCTGGGAAGGACCAGCTCAGACTCCCTGCTTGCTCCCCGTGGACAGCAGACCGGGGCAGGGCAGGGCCGAGGCTGGGCTCCAGGGGCTCCAGGCCAGGGGCAGCTGAGCCTAGGGCTGTGGCAGGGAGCACCAAAGCTTCCCCAGCATCCCCTCCACTCCCATCCCCACCCCCCACATGCACACAGATACACACAGCTGCCAAGCCCCTACCCCCGGCCTGGGCTGCACCCTACCCCTCTCCACTCCTACAAGTCAGGGGGACAGGCCCAGGTTGAACCATCCTGTCCCCTCTCTCCCATCCTCCCTCTTCCCATTCCCCTGGCAACCAAACCAGACCCATCAAGGAGAAGGACCTGGCAGCTGTGCAGGGAGAGACTAATGGCCCGGAAGGAAGGAGGGGCCTGGAGCGAGAAGGAAGGCGGTAGGGATGTGAGCAGGCGGGCGTTGGCCCATCTCGGAGGACGCACAAAGGAGGGGAGGCTCCGCAGCCCTGCAATGCTGAGGAGCTGGCTGGCCAAGGAGCCGCCCTCCTCACCCCCTCACCCAGAGATCCAGCCTGGAGTCCCAAACCTGCCTCCCCAGATGCCCCACTCTTGTCCTCAGGGCCTGAGGTGGACCTGCCCGTGCTGGAAAGCCTTGGAGTCCCGGCAGCAGCAGCAGCCCCATGGCTCCTGGCAAACCCAGCAGGCCTCAGCACCCCGCTCCTGCAGACCGTCTGAGCTGCCTCTGTCCTCTCCGGGGCAGCCTGTGCCTGAGTTCTGGAAGCCGCAGACATGCAAAGGCCAGACATCAGCCTTCCCGATAACTGGGGCGGGGGAGGGCAGGAAGGGACGTGTGACTGTGAGTGTGGTGTGTGTGCACATAGGTAATGGGGTGCTATGACGCACATGCATCCGTTTGTGTGCACAGGCTTGTGGATCTGCTTTGGGGCCTTCTCTCTCCTCTTTTCAGTCCCTGGACCACTCGCGATGGGCACTTTCTCTTTCTGCATCTCTTCCCCATCCAGCCCCACCCCTCCCTGGGACCTGCAGCTCCTCCATACTGGTAACCGGTCCCTGCCAGTCCGTTCATCTCTCAGCCTTGGCAGCGGCTGCAGCCCCTCAGCCCCCTCCCCTTCCCACCTCAGGAATTGCTGTGCTTCCCGTAAGGCCCATGACTGAGCAGCAGTTGGTTGGGGGAAGGGAGAGAGAATCCAGTAAAGCCAGACGGCGTACAACTGGCTCATTCAGCTCAGCCTCTGGCAGGGCACAGACCCTCCTGGGAGGGACCCGAGTGGGGTCCAGCCGCCCTCGGCCCCCTCTGCCGTGCCCACCCTGCTGGGGCCTGCTTGGATCGGGGTTTGGAAGCTGTGTCTTTAAGGCTGAGACATCAGCAGGCAAGCCCCTGGCCCAGTGTCCAGAGGAGGGGGAGGGGGAATGGCCAGTCCATTAGCCATTAGCGGAGGAGCTGGCGCCAGGCAGCAGACCTCCACAGGGCCCTGGGGATTACGGAGGGACCAGCCTTCCCTCACCCCCCTTGGCTCCCTCTGCCCTCCTGTCCCTCCATTTCTCCCCGGGTGTGGTAACAGAGGGGTGGCCGATAGCAGGCAGAAGCTGGGCCTAGCCCTTCAGGGGACAAGTAGAGGCACAGGCCCTGGGGCCTAGGCCAGGCCAACTCTCCATCCTCACCGCTCAGGTGCCGGAAGCCTGCCCTTTAACCTCTGTCCTCCTTTGCCCCTATTCTTTTTTTTTTTTTTTTCTTACTGAGATACAACTGACCACACATTCTATACCAATTGCAGGTGGACAGTGTAATGATTCTACATTTGCGCACCTCCGGCCTTTAACAGCTCTTGCAGGCAGGAGCCCCAGCTCCTGTCAGGCTCTCCCGCCCCACGCTCCAGCTCTAGACGCTGACGCTGGAAGGTGCCGACCCCCAGCCGGCCTGCCGGTGGCCGGGGGTCGCGGGGCCTGCTTCCTTCCCGCCGGCAGCAGGGGAACGGAGGAGGCCGGGCGCCAGCGCCGGGAGCCAGGGTGCGGCTCTCCCGCTGCTCCGCAGGGGTGGGGCGTCCCCCTGCCCACAGAGACCCGCCGTCAGGCCAGTGGGAGGAGCTGCCCGGGCCCCCCCGAGCCCGCAGGCCTATAAAGCCGCCTCGCCCCGGGCTGCGGCTCCTTCCCAGCTCCCCACCAGCTCCGCCCGCGGTGACTGCCGGCCTCGCTGCCATGAGCCACCCGTCGGGCCTCCGGGCCGGCGTCAGTGCCACCTCCTACCGCCGCACCTTCGGGCCTCCGCCCTCGCTGTCCCCCGGGGCCTTCTCCTACGCGTCCAGCTCCCGCTTCTCGAGCAGCCGCCTGCTGGGCTCGGCGTCCCCCGGCTCCTCCGTGCGCCTGGGCAGCTTCCGCGGGCCCCGGGCCGGCGCGGGCGCCCTCCTGCGCCTGCCCTCGGAGCGCCTCGACTTCTCCATGGCCGAGGCCCTCAACCAGGAGTTCCTGGCCACGCGCAGCAACGAGAAGCAGGAGCTGCAGGAGCTCAACGACCGCTTCGCCAACTTCATCGAGAAGGTGCGCTTCCTGGAGCAGCAGAACGCGGCCCTGCGCGGGGAGCTGAGCCAGGCCCGGGGCCAGGAGCCGGCGCGCGCCGACCAGCTGTGCCAGCAGGAGCTGCGGGAGCTGCGCAGGGAGCTGGAGCTGCTGGGCCGCGAGCGCGACCGGGTGCAGGTGGAGCGCGACGGGCTGGCGGAGGACCTGGCGGCGCTCAAGCAGAGGTCAGGGGCAGGGCCGGCCCGGCGGCCGTCGAGGCGGCTGCTGCTCGCCCCGCTCGCTTCCCTGCCCCCCCCCCCCGCCGCCCAGGGAGGGGCGCCCGCGGCCACCCGGGCGCGTGCGGGCAGCAAGGTGGCCCGCGGGCTCTGCGCGCCCCCCCGCGCCCCGCGGACTCCCCGGGGAGGGAGGGGGGATGTTATGGGTCTGCCCGGTGCATCCAGGGCTCCCATCTCCGCTCCCAGCCCTTTAGGGAGAAGGTGGGCCAGGGCCTCAGGCAGCTCCCGGGGTCCTGGACACTAGCGGCCTCTGCCCTAGCCCCGGGGGCGCGCGGGCTGCCGGCTGCGCGGGGACCCTGCGGCCCAGCCGCCCCCATTCTTCCTGCCAGGCTGGAGGAGGAGACGCGCAAGCGGGAGGATGCGGAGCACAACCTCGTGCTCTTCCGCAAGGTGAGCGCGGGCCCAAGTCTGCTGTCGCCCCGCTTCTACCCCGCCTTTGCATCTGGGGAGGCCTGTGCGGGCGCCAGGAGGCGACCAGAAGCCTCCAGGGACTGGCAGGCAGGGCCTGGCCCTTCCTGGCCCTGAGCAGCCCCTCCCTGCTCTTGAACCCCCTCCACCCCCGCCACCCCCTTAAGGACGTGGACGACGCCACCCTGTCCCGCCTGGAATTAGAGCGCAAGATTGAGTCCCTGATGGATGAGATTGAGTTCCTCAAGAAGCTACATGAGGAGGTAGGTGGACTCGAGGGTCGGGGAGCCTTCAAAGGCTGCAGGTGGTCTCGCTGGCGCCGGAAGGCGGGCGCGGGAGAAGCCTGGCGCGGGGAGCGGAGGACTCGGCCTGGGGAAGAGCAGGGACACTCGCGGCGTAGACCGCGTAGACGCAGCCCCTCAACCCACCCCCCTCCACAGGTGGTTTGACTCCCACCCCTGCGCCACCTGGTGGCGCGCCGCGGAGCTGCACCCCTTAACTTGGCCGCCGGCTTGGGGCGTACGCGGGCGCAGGCCGCGCAGGCCGCGCAGTCCTACGCGCGCTGCACTCCCTGGCGCCCCCTTCTGCTCACTCGAGAGTTTTCCCTCTTTTCTGAGTGAACCGCGCGGCCCGCGTGGGATCCGCGCGGCAATCTCAGCAACTCGGTGTTCCGGGCGGCAGGAGCTGCGGGACCTGCAGGTGAGCGTGGAGAGCCAGCAGGTGCAGCAGGTCGAGGTGGAGGCCACCGTGAAGCCCGAGCTGACCGCCGCGCTGCGGGACATCCGCGCGCAGTACGAGAGCATCGCGGCGAAGAACCTGCAGGAGGCCGAGGAGTGGTACAAGTCCAAGGTGCGCAGCCCGGCCGGCCCCGGCGATCGCGGGCCGCGGGGAGGCGCGTCCCCGGCTCACGCCCCCCCGCCTCCCCGCCTCGCACCCCCCAGTACGCGGACCTGTCCGACGCCGCCAACCGGAACCACGAGGCCCTGCGTCAGGCCAAGCAGGAGATGAACGAGTCCCGACGCCAGATTCAGAGTCTGACGTGCGAGGTGGACGGGCTACGCGGCACCGTGAGTCCCGGGTTCGCGCCCCGGGGGGGGGGGATGGAGGGTGAAGGCTGCCCCGCAGTGACCCCCCTGCCCCCAGAACGAGGCGCTGCTCAGACAGCTGCGGGAGCTGGAGGAGCAGTTTGCCCTGGAGGCCGGCGGGTACCAGGCGGGCGCCGCGAGGCTCGAGGAGGAGCTGCGACAGCTCAAGGAGGAGATGGCCCGGCACCTGCGCGAGTACCAGGAGCTCCTCAACGTCAAGATGGCCCTGGACATCGAGATCGCCACCTACCGCAAGCTGCTGGAGGGCGAGGAGAGCAGGTGGGGGGCAGGGCCGCGGGAGGGGGAGGGGCGGCGGCAGGTGCGGAGGGGTGTCAGGGGAGGGCCGCCCGCGCCCGCCGCGTCGCTGACTGCCTCCCCGACTCCCAGGATCTCGGTGCCAGTCCACTCCTTCGCGTCCTTAAGTATGAAGACGAGCGGTGAGTCTCCCACGCCCGGCTTCCAACCTGCCTGTCCCCTTGTCCACTTCTGCCCTGACCAGACTCTTGCAGGGGCTCTGCTCACGGATGGATTCTGTGCATGAGCTACTGAGGCCCGGTCCACACTCGCGCCTGCTCCTCATGCCCCGCCACCCCCTCCCCTCATAGATGAGAGTGAGGACACTCCAAGCCTCCTCTCCTCCACCCCCTCATCCCACTCTTTCCAGTGCCTGAGGTGGAGCCTCCGCAGGACAGCCACAGCAGGAAGATGGTTCTGATCAAGACCATTGAGACCCGGGATGGGGAGGTGAGGTGGACCACTTGAGCCTGGGGCCCCATCATCGCCCATATTATTTCTGGCTGCAGCTGGTTTTAGAGTATTGTGGGTTAGTGGTCTTTGGGGGCAGGAGGGAGACAGGGAGATAGAGATGTGGGTGGATAGTCCGGAGCCTGGGCTGGTTTTGCTGGAGGAGAGGGCATGCCCCAAAGGAGAGGGGAGGAGGGTGGTGCTGAATGGTTTGTGCCGTTCACATGCCTTGCCCCCAGCAGGTGGTGACTGAGTCCCAGAAGGAGCAGCGCAGTGAGCTGGACAAGTCTTCTACTCACAGCTACTGACCCCATTGGTCTGGTGCTCCCTGACACTGCCCTAGGCCTGCTCCAAGCCCCAGACCCTAACACCAGTACTGAATTAGTCCTCTCTTGCTCTGCATGTGTCTAGGGGATGACGCAAGTCATCCCTTCCCTGGCCTGTGGCCAAGCCCTACCCAGCCAGCAGTAGCTGGCCCTTCCCTCCCTTCCCTGACACATATTTATATATATGACCTGTATGTTCCCCTTATCTCGTCCTAGTAAGAGGCCAGCAATCCCCAAAACAAGTCTACTGCCATTCATTACCCCATGACCAGTGGAGTGGGCCAGGGTCTGAGTTTCACTTTTGAATCAAATAAAACTGCTGTCAAGAGAAACCCGTCCAGTGCATTTGTGTCTGTGGCTGTGGGGGTGCCTGTGGGGAGGGGGCTCAGCAGTATTTTCCCCTGGTCTCTAGTCATTCCTTTTCTACATCCCATACCTTGGCATCTGTGGCTCCTATCTACCCTTCTTCTAGTTCTACATCTGTTCCTTCTCAACTTCTGTTTGCCAGCTGCAGCCCTGAATGTCCAGATGCCTCCTGAGTATGCCAGAGGTCCCTCAAACTCAACATGTCCAAAACAGAGCTCCTCGTTTCCCTCTCTGCCTGAGGTCAGAGAGGTCATGTTCTTCCTTCAGGGTTCCCCACTCTAGAAGAAGGCACCACGAAGGACTTCTGCTGCCGAATTAGAACACCTCATCTTCTACCTCTTTCTTTTCTTCACCTACCCCCACCACCCAATTCTGTTGATTCTACTTTTTAACTCTTGCAAGTCTGTCAACTTCTCCCCATCCCTGCTGCCACCACCCTAGTCCAGGCCACCATGGTCATTTGCCTGGGTCACCTTATCTCCCTCAGTGGTCTCTTTCTCCTGGCCTAACCCTGCCACCCACCTAAACCTACCTGACACACTTGACCAGCAAATCATTCTGCTGCCATCACTCCCCACCCTGCTTGAAAATGTCTACTTCTATAATCTCCTCCAACTCTACTCAATACTGCCTTTGCCTTCAAGTCAAAATCCATTTCTGAGTTTTGTTTTTTTTTTTTTTAAAGATTGTATTTATTGACTCATGAGAGGCACACAGAGAGAAGCAGAGACACAGGCTAAGGGAGACGCAGGCTCCATGCAGGAAGCCCAATGCGGGACTTGACCCTGGGACCATGGGATCATGCCCTGAGCTGAAGGCGGCGCTAAACCGCTGAGCCACCTGGGCTGCCCACCATTTCTGAGTTTAAAATTATCTTTTTCCACTCAATTATCATGCTACATGCAGGGAGTAAGCCAGAGTCCCTGCTCTCAAAGAGCTCCCGGTCTGGGGTAGTGGGGAGAGATGCCAAGCAGGTCCTTCCAGTCCTGGGAAGAGCGCTGGGACTGGGAAAGAAGATGACATTGTGGGGAGATGAAGAAGAGCATCTAAGCCAGCCTTGGAGTAAAGGCACAGCTTCCCCAAGGTGGCCCACGCTGAAGAACAAGCAGGAGTTATTCAGGCAAAGCAGGGAGGGGAGGAGGCTTTCTAGGTAGAATAAGTCAGGAGGTGAGGGAGAGCCAGTTTGGGAACTGGAAGTAGCTATGTAATTCTGGGAAGAATGGAAAGAAAGAATGGAGCTGAGGTTGGAAGATGACACGAGGGCTGGGCCAGGCAGGACCTCACTGGCTGGATGAAGGCCTTCTGAATGCATCCTAAGGAAAAGGGAAGAACATGGTCTCATCAGGAGGGTGAAGCATTCACATCTGCATTTTAGAAAGATCACTCTCACAGTGGCATCCAGAAGCCATTAGGACACTGAGAACATGGGTCATGAAACATCGTGATATAAATTACTGGGTCAAGACCAACATCTTAAAAAAAAGAGTATAAAGTGTAAGGGAGTGGTGAAACTTTTTATTTTTTATTTTTATTTTTTTTAAAGATTTTATTTATTTATTCACGAGAGACACACACAGAGAGAGGCAGAGACACAGGCAGAGGGAGAAGCAGGCTCCATGCAGGGAGCCCAATGTGGGACTCAATCCTGGGACTCCAGGATCACACCCTGGGCCAAAGGCAGACACTCAACCACTGAGCCACCCAGGTGTCCTGGTGAAACTTTTTAATGTATTTATATACATGTATATTGGCTTACCATATGAGATGTATTTTTTTTTATCTTGGATTGTGGTAAAAAAAAATTTGAAAAACAAAACAACCTAGATTTGAACATGTTTAAACACTGGGGAGAATTTGAAAGAATCAAGTTGTCATGAGTGGACCCAGACATCTATTGAAATGACACAAACTCAGACGTGGCTGTGATTGAAGAGTTTTAGGAAAACTCCAAATCCAATTCTAACCAAGGGGGATCAGATGTTAACCTCAAGAAGACAGGACTGGGATTTGATCGTAATTAAGAAAGCTTATATCACATTGATTTTATTGTACTCAGCTTGTTGGAAGCACGGAGATAGTTCCCATGACATCTACAAGAAGGTCATCTCAAAAGCAAGGAGGTGGCCACATTGATTTAGTCTTCCTAGAAGGAACCGGATGTGGTGGGCACGACCCCTGGGTCCCAGGGATAGTTCCTTAGGGGCCACCTGCAGTGGGTGGAAGGAGCTCGGTTATCTGCACTGCAAAGGACAGAGATTAACCAAACATCTCAGGCAAAGGGGAGTGACTTGGGAGCTTACGCAGAGAAATTGGGGCACAGAGAATTGCAGCTGCCTCGGGTAGAGTGGGAGTGGCTTCACGGGACACCAGAACTGCCTAGGTGACCTGGCCTCCCAGGAGGAATGGACTCTGCAGCCCCTCAGGCCTCACCCAGCATGACAAGTGGCAGAAAAACCCCTCAGCAGCAGGAGCACACTGCTCCCTGCTCCAGGGTCCTACTGCTTCTATTGCTCCCACCACCAATGGGTACAGGACCTCACCCTCCATCCAGCCTGGCTTTTGCTTACTCATGGTTCCTTCTATTCTTTTTTAAAGATTTTATTTATTTATTTGAGAAAGAGAGAGAGAGAGAACATGAGCAGTGGGGAAGGGTAGAGGGAGAAGCAGACTCCCTGCTGAGCGGGGAGCCTGATGTGGGGCTCCATCCCAGGACCCCAGGATCATGACCTGAGCTGAAGGCAGGTGCTTAACCCACTGAGTCTCCCAGGTGCCCTCATGGTTCCTTCTTATTTATGGCTTCAATCGTCCTATGGCTTCCATGACCTAAGAGCAATTGCATGCTGACTTCTGGGGCTTTCTTTGGTTCTGCTTTCACTTCCTTTCACAGAAGATACCCACTTTACTAGCCTTTACAGATTAGTTGACATTTCCCACTGCCTTTGTGAGACATACCAACAAATGTCCAAAACACTGAGCCCTTGGGGCGGACAGGGGGCTCTCTTTCATCCCCTGGGCACTTCCGCTCCCGCCCATTAACAAATACTGGAAAGTGCACAGCAATTGTTGGCTCTCTTTGTTCCTAAACCTGTTTTGTTAAATAATCCCACAGTTTAACCAACTATTTTTTTAAACTCATCAAAGAATATGAAAAGTACAATTTTAATTTTAACGGATAGCATGGGGATTAAGAATCTGCTTTTAAATCTTGGATCTTTATCTACTAGATGCACGACTCTGGGAAAGACACTTCGCCTCTCTTTGCCTCCCAGTCTTCTCATCTGTAAAATGGAGACAACTATAGCAAGCTACTTCACAGGATTATTGTGAAGAATAAATGAGACGATTCATGCAGGGTTGAGCGGTCTTGGCTACCCCGTAGGCAGGAGACTGAGGGGACACGGTTCAGAATATGGCCTCCCAGGTGGCTTCCCTCAGCAAGGAGGCCTGGGATGGCCATAAATTACAACCCAAGCATTGAAGTTGAGTTATTCTTCCATAGTATAAACATCAGAGGTTTTTTCTATTTCAAGAGGACAGTTTGAGTGTGTCCTAGCCTCTCTTCATACTGTATTAATTTCTAATTACTGTTTTAACAAATTACCACAAACATGGTGGCTTAGAACAACACATTTATTATCTTCCAGTGCTGGTGGTTAGAAGTCTAAAATGGGATGATAGATCTGTGTTCCTGCTAGAGGCTCTAGAGAAGTCCGCTTCTAAAGACTGCCCACTATCGGTGGCCTGTGGCCCTCTTCCATCTTCAAAACCAGTGACCCCATCACTGATCTCTGTTTCCCTCTTGTAAGGATCCTTGTCATTACACTGGGCGCAGCCAGACAATCCAGCATAATCTTCCCCCTCAAAACCTTTAACTTACACCCTTAAGGTCCCTTTGGCATGTAAGAAAATATTCACAGGTTCTGGGCTTGGGGATGTGGACAGGGGAAGCCTTTATTATGCTTATCGTGGTCTGACCTCTGGCCTCTGAACATTCATGTTGGTCTCATATACAAAATATATTCACCTCATTTCAGGGTTCCCCAAAGTCTCAACCCATTACAGCATTAGCTGAAGGGCAAACTCTCATCTAGAGGTCATCAGCTCAGAAGTCTCAAACCTCATCACTTAAACCATCCACACTAGGCATGAGTGAGGCTCCGGGGATAGCTGATCCCTGAGGGAGACTCTTCTCCCTTCGTGGACTTGTGACACTAGAAAACAAATGATCCGTTCATAAAATACGATGGGGGAGGGGGGTGCAGAAGATAACAGCTCCAGGCATTCCCATCCAGAAAGGGAGAACCTGAAAGGAGAAAGGTTATAAAGCAAATTTAAAGTCCACCTGGCAAAACAATATGAAATTTCAAGGCCTGGGAATGGTCTTCTGTGGCTCCTGGCCCTGCTTTCTGGCCTCACTGTCTGGCCTTGGGATCATCCTTCCTCTCTCATGTGTTTCCAGCTCTTCGTTTCCTGGGTGGACAGTCTAGGGGGATCTGACGGCTTTCTTCCATTTTACCCTCTCTCTGGCTCTTTCAGGACAAGCTGGCAGTGTCTCTGTTTATGAGACACTCTCTCAAGAACCATGTGGGTCTCCAGGGTAGGGCTCCGGGACTCACGCCACTAGACAAGAGGCGCCTCCACAGATCTTTTTAGACAATCCCCTTTCGATGCTTGGTTTCTGCTGACATGGCTGAGGAAATCCAAGGGTCACATGGCTAATCTCTCCAAAGGGGCCTTCGTGTGATTAAATGCTCTGACCTTTGATCCTTCCTAGGCACTAGCGAAAAATTATCCAGGTACCTCCTTGGATTTCTCCTCAGAGCACACTTTCCTGTCAGTGAATGGCCTAATTTCAGCATTGTCTGCAATCTAGGTAGACTGAAAATTCCTAAAATACCAAGTTCTGAGGCCCTTTTGCCTCTTTTCTCTCAGATTTTACTATGAGCAGCA